TGCAGTTGGTCTAGATTCTACCCGGTGGATTAGATTATACATAGGGGGTAATTACCCGTGGGTATAATATACCCAGCCAATCTCAATTTCGGAATCATGCGTAACTATTCGGCGTTACTTTCATATAAATTAATCTTCCCATTGCGTTCACTGGGTGTTTCCTTGTTGCCCAACATTCTTCCCAGATTTTTTCCCTCTTAGTCCTATACGTTTGATAACTGTTTATTATTATTATAAAAAATTTTCTACTGATAAAATTTTGTCTTTAAGTTGTTTCCCAACGTTATATCCAATATTCATATCCCTCTAATATGCCGGTGTGTACGTCCTGCCATCAAACTAAGCCTGACGAAGCCTTCTTTCATAAAAATAAAAAATGGAAAACTTGTCAAAGTTGTATAGAGCAAAGAGCTCTTAAAAAACAAAAAACAAAGAGAAAACGCGATGACGAAGTTGTCGAAGAAGAAGAGCCCACGCGTGTTTCCCTTAGAACCGTTGGTCTAATGGAGTTGTCTAACCTCGTCGCTTCTGAAATGCGTGCTATTCTTCATAACCCTCAACCTATCGGTCCTGACGGTACCCCTCAATGTGCCTTAAACCTACGCGTGGCTTTAAACCTTACAAGTATGATAAATGGTAGCGAACATCCTAAGGAAGTCGCTAGATGGATCGTGGAAGAAATAGAGAGAGCTGATGAATATAATTGGACGTATGTATTATAATTTCAATCTTTTAAATAATATAATCATAATAATCATAATAATCATAATAATAATATTCATAATATTCATAATAATCTTCATAACAATATTCATAATATTAATAATCATATTAAAATAAAAATAATCATATTAATATTATTATTAATAATCTTAATAATAATAATATTATTATTATGATTATTATTAATATTATTATTAATATTATTAATATTATTATTATTATTATTATTATTATTTTCACTTTTCATTCGTGTTATTTTAACACTAAAAATAAATAAATAAATAAATAAATATATATATATATATATTTAGGTATAATTGTATGAATACTTCGATGCGTCATAAAGATGTCGCAAAGTTTTACTACGTTTGTAGTCAATCCGTAGTCGCGATGAAAGAATATAAAGAAGGGTCTAATAGAAAACGAATGGAACGCTTTCCATGTCAAGGAAAAATGCAAATGAAAATTGATATGCCTGCTGCTGAAGCTATGCTTGAAATTCATCATGGCATGCTTCATAATAGACCCGTGATCACTTCAGAAATTAGTGAAGAATGTAGAAAAGAAATTGAAGAAAACGTTCATTTAAATCCTATTCAATTACGTCAATTACTCAGAGCTAAAAATGTTATGAAAAATTATACTCCAAAACAAATTCATACTTATTGGGAAAGAATCGCTAATCTTAAATGTCCGGAATTAGTCCCCCAATATTCCGTTACTCCTGTTGTTTCCGTTGTTCCTATGTTATCTACTACTGTTGACGGTACTTATACTATGATACCGACAATGCCATATCCTCCTTTACCTCCTTCAATGCCTATGCCAATTGTCCCGAATACTTCTCCTTCCACTCCACTAAAAGTTGAAAAAACTTCAAAAGTCGCTAATCATACTTACAATCATGATGAATTTGCTGAATATGCTGCAAAGATGGAACAGTTTGCAAAAAGAATCAGGAATCAATTGGATCGTCGGAATTATCATTGGTTAGATACCGTAAAAATCCTGACCGCTGGTGTTATCGAAATGGAAAATGATATTGAGGAATTGGAAAGGCAACGTGCTAGCGAAAGGGCTACAAAACCATGGACAATTCATTATAAATAAATCTTTATATTATTTCACGATCATAGTTACATATTGTATGATATGTTATAGTTAGGGTTGGTAAAGTTAGTTTAGGTTTGGATTAGGTTTTAAAAACCTTTTTTTAGGTTCAAAATTAAAAACCTAGGAACCAGGTTTTTTTATATAATAAATTTCAATCATATTCATTCATAAATTAAACCTGGTTTTCAATATTTTGTATGACATAAAAAATAATATATATATATATATATATATCTTGATTCTTTTGAATAACTTTGAATACAGTATGCTAATATTTTGATTTATTTAATAAAATTTCGATTTTTTATAAGGTAATAATATTGGCAGGGAAGTTAATACGGGATCTATCTGGATGATTCGAATGATAAAAAAAAAAACTTTTTGTTTTTAATCAATGGATTACCAAATAATCTCATACAGTAGCGATCTGTCGATCCACCTCCCAAACATCCCAAACATCTCGCCAAACGATAAAATTAAAATCGTGTTTAGGTTATACACTCTAAGAATTGCATTCTAAGAATGGTTTCGCTGTGAAAGAACCTATTTGGCATTAGCAAGCACAAGTTAATTTGCTTTTGTTTTCTATTATAGAGTTTAAATAAAATAAATTCATTTATTATAGAGACAACATCTACCATTACAAAATTTTTCGTTACTACGTATATCAATTTTTCTTCGTAATATATATAGTTAATAGATTTTTATCATTACATTTTACGTAATGATTTTCTTTTAAACTTTTGCATACGTACGTACGTATGTACGTATGTGATTCTTACTATATATCTTAAAAAAAAAATTATTGCGTAATACATATATTTTTTTTCTTTAGCATTAATAAAAATCTATATAAAGATTGCCTTATTGCTAATAATAATGGTATAAAATTTTTTAGCAAGAAAAATCGATAATCGAATACATACATAAAGAGAATGCGTATGTACATACGTACGTACCCTTAAGAAACTTATTAACGTATATCCCATGCCAAATAAAGTCTGTAACTCTTATTTCACTGCATAACGATAATCAATAAGGTTACCTGCATAACTATTGATCTTTAAACATAACCCTCTAATAATTACGATTCAAGCTAAGCCAGGCAATAAAAGTCATTTAAGCTCTTTCAGAATCGTAATACCTAGATATGTGCCTCACGAGCGAGATATTGATATCGTTCTTGCGCGAATTAATCATATCTCGCGTGAAATATCATATCTCACGTGAAATAAAAGTTTGATAAAGAATATCATAGTGATTTATAAATCGCAAATGTTTTTTTCAATAAAAATAATTAGAATAAAAAAGTACCTTTTTTTTTTATAAAAAACAAAAGAAAGCTGTCACCTAAACATATTATTTTACTGAACTCCAAATTTCGTCCTGTATGAGTTCATCTCACATTTTGCGCAAATGCGAAATATATGCTAGGTTTATAGCGCGAGAGGCACACCACACTAAAACGAAACCGACAAATTGTGCAATACATAATACCGTATACTCTCGAGAATAAGCACCACCCCCCCTCTACCCCATTTTTTTAAATATCAGATTTGCGGGAATAACTTTTGCCAAATATTTCATTACGATTTCCGCTAAATCTGAGATTTAAAAAATGAGATAGAGGGGGTGATGCTTATTCTCGAAAGTATACGGTAAAAATCATAATCATGTCTGAGTAACAAAACAATAACCCTAGGGACGGTGAGATTATACCGACTTTGATCTGAAAAAAAATATGACGAGGTGACTCCATTGTTCTAACAACGACGATTCCAATAACGAAAGAAAAGCGCATTATGATTGTACTGTACATTATGTCACCGCCTGCGACAAGTACACATTTATTGGAACCTATAAACTTGGGTAGGGTTGTTAATGGACTATAATAAAACATATAACCCGCTTCTGGAGTGCTCCGGAGTGGGTTATATGTTTTATTATTGACTGGAGCACTCCATTAACAACC